AGCACCTATGGGCGCAGCCCCGCACGACCCGGGCCACGTGCTCCCACGTCAGCACCCACGGGTGCAGCCCCACGGACTCGGGCCACGTGCCTGCACATCAGCACCTATGGGCGCAGCCCCGCACGACCCGGGCCACGTGCCCGCATGTCAGCACCTATGGGCGCAGCCCAGTACCAGTTTACAGGCATGCGCTGGGAGCGCGGTAAGAAAAGAAACCCAGGACGAACACTTTGAAGTGTGTGCGATGACTTTACTCGGTCCCCCACATCCGCTGACTAATGATTCGGGGCTTGCGGTCTCTCTCCTTTCGTTCACTTTCTAATGACTCATCTTTACCGTATTTCACGAGGGTACGTGCCTGTCCATGGCACATGAGAAATCTGAAAACAAAGTCTGGTTCTGGTTTGACGACGACAGTCCAAGGCCGGTTTTCAGTTTTGTAACGCTGCACACTGGAGTCACCTAGCGAGCTCAAAACATCCCCCAAATCAGAAACTCATTTCTGTGGTGGAACCAGGCGCCGGTGGGTGCACGGGCAGCCATCACTTCTGAGAGTGGTGCCCTTGAGTGCCCGAAGACCAGTGCCATGGTCCTAACGAACAGAACAGGCTCAGGGTGGTGGTCACTTGAGACCAGGTCACAGAAGGCTGGGCCAGCTTCTCTCTCAGTCTCTGGCTGGCCCTTCTTGCCTTTTTCTCTTTCCTGAAGCAAAGTGCCATGTCAACGGATCCGTGGAGCAGGGTCCCTAGCGAGCAGCGAAGGAGGTGCTGCGTCCTGCCAACACCTGCCGGGGGGTGCACCCTCCCAGCCCTGCGGGAGGGGTCTGCGGCCTGGTCAGCCTCGACGGCAGCCTGCAGGAGAGCCGGAGCCCGAGGATCCCACAAGCCTGCCGGCGTTCAGGAACCCCAGAAGCTGTGAGAGGGAAGAAGGGGTTCTAAACTACTGAGTTTTGGGGAAACTTGTTGTCATGAGCTAACGTACTCCCATGTAAATGCATGTGAAAAACTTTAAGTGTTTTTTTTTTAAAGATTTATTTATACATACATACAGGACTGGGGTACAGGCCAGAGGTGCGGGGGGTGAGAGGATTCATTAGCGACAGAGTAGGGAGCAGAACAGGCAGAGGTACTGAAATCCACTGCTGAGGGGAGCAGCGAGCGGGTCAGGAGAAATCTGCCACGCCATGTGGGTCACTTCCCTGGCTGGGGATTGAACTGGTGCTGCAGTGGCTGCAACAGCTTCATAGTACTGCACTTTAACCTGTGGCGCCAGCAGGGAGGGCCCAACTTGAAGTGTTTTTAAGTTAGAAATAAGACGAGGACCCTTGGTTATCTCTCAATATCTTTAGAGCCTTGACCGAAACCCTGCATATTGGGGACTTGACATGCTTTCAATAAAATATTAATCAACAGCCCAACTGTCACAGAGCACTGAAGGTCGCACTGACGGACAAAGTCTAAGAGAAATAACGGCAATAATAAGCCATCCGCATTTGTCTCGGCCAGTTCAGCAGAATGCGTGCCAGGAGCCGTGCGGGCGACAGGAGGCTCAGGAGCAGGCACTCACGTCTCTGCAACACCACACAGCCACCCGCGAGCTGCCCGGGGGGTCCCGAGGCCCCTTGGAGAGGGTGTCACAGAGCAGGGTTGAGTTTCACCTCCATCAGCTGATTTGTAAAGTGCTTATTAAGGGTAAATACGCAAAGCCTACTACACAAAAGCGGTGTTTCATTAAGAGCTGACGTACTACGGTGTGATGTCATCTGCACTGTTTACTACATAAAAGGACTGCGACGTCACAGGCCGTTAAAATGGCACATGCCTCCAGGGGTGTCACATTCCCTCCGCTTACACAAGTTGGGCTGCACGGTCACATGAGCCTGTCCTGGAAGGGGCGCTGGAGACTCCAGGAATATGATTTCTGTCTATGGTGCAGATTCCTGGTCTTCCTGCTGCACTCAGGAAGAATGGAGGGGATGAGAAACTTCCTTGTCTCGCCTTTTAGAAGCGGTGTGCTCTGTTTACCTACTATCAGTTACTTCTGCGACTGCTGGCCGTCTTCTACGTGCACAGGGGAATTAAGACTTTCAGAACGACCCCTCTCGCCTTCCACAGAACTTACAAAACACGGGAAATTGTGACCAATGAATTTGAGCACGGCAACTATTTTACACACCAGAGAGTTCTAAGAGCTTTGCCAGAGGATGGTTACCGGCCACAGCAGTTGGGAGACACGTCCTCCCTCCAAGAAGCTTCTGCACCTCCCAGCCCCAGTCCCATGCCAACCCCATTTCTTCAGGGGCTGGTAAACTCTGTCACCCTCTGAGGAATGCAGGTTGGTTAAACTTGCACAAATGAAATGAAATCACCCAATCAGCACACTAAGAGGAAAAGTGATAACATCTTAACACAGGTTGAAGACTCACAGTGTGCCTACCATTCATGGGAAAAGCAAAGTAAAACAAGGGACTAGGACCACAGGATCTTTCTGCAGCCTGGTAAAGGCATTTACAAACAACAAACAACACTGTGGCTAGTATCCCACGTGCTAGTGAGGGAAGGAATGCTCTCCCTCTAAGATCGAGGAAGGGTAAGAATATCTCCTCTCTTCACCTCTCTTCAGCATCTCAAGGTAGGGCGGTCCTAGACAGTGTCAAAGAAAAAGAAAAGAAGGATGGGGGAGAAAAGGTTCTGATGGGAAAGAAAAACTAAAATATTTTTTATTTGCAGAAAAAAATCTATAAAGCATCTATAAAAACAAGGAAGTAAATTCAGTGTGGTTACAAGATTAGTCACAAACATCAAAACCAATTAGACAGTGCAGTATGAAAAACTGTCATTATAATAACAACAATAAAGAAAAATACTTAGTTATAAAGTCAGCAAAACACATATAAAACCACTGAAAAGCAAAGGGGAGTAGTTAGTAAAAATGTTAGTTGATTCTATAATTTATATAGAAAGACAAAGACTTGATTGAAAAAACAGTTTTGATAAAAAAACAAGTTGGGGGATATATAATAGCCAATTACAAGGTTACTACAAGGCTTCACATCTGTGTGGTATTAGCATAAAGACAGGTTAAGTGCCAACTGATTATTAAGCAGAAAATTCAGGGCTAGACCCAACTATTTTCTTTCTTTATTTTTTTAAAAGATTAATTTATTTATGCATACATACAGAACTAGGGTACAGGTCAGAGGTGCAAGCAGCGAGAGGCTTCACCAGAGACAGAGCGGGGAGCAGAACAGGCAGATCAACGAAGTACACTGCTGAGGGGAGCAGCGGGCGGTCAGGAAAGGTCTGCCGCACCCTGTGGTCACCTCTGGGTCGGGGATCAAACCATGCAGAATCGGCTTTAGCTTCTTAGTGCTGTGGTTTAACCCGCTGCGCCACCAGGGAGGGCCACAACCAACTAATTTTCAACAAAAGCAACAAACTAATATTGGGGGGAGGGAGGAGAATATTCTTTAAGAGAAGTATGTTTAAATGATAGAATATCCATTTGGGAAAAAAAGGAATGAATTTTAATCTTCCATCATACTGAAAAAAACTAAAAGAAACCTATACTATAAAAACTGAAAATCACAAAACTGACAGTAAAAAAAAAGTTTTACGACTTTCAGGAAGTCAAAGAATTTTTAGAGCATAACTGGTATGAATCTTTTTTTAAAAGTCAATTAAACTAAAATCGTCAGTTCTTTGAAAATCTGCTGTTAATCAAATGAAAAGAAGCCATAGGCTGGGAGAAAATATTCACATTACAAAAGATTTGTAGATGGAATACACAAGGAACTTTTACAAGCCAATAAACCAGAGGACAAAGAACCAAATAAAAACATGGTCAACAGATTTGAACAGACACTTCACAAACACATACACATATGGGAATAAACACATTAAGACCTGATGACATCACTAGTCATCAGG